GGAAAAATTTAAGTGTCAAAGAGGATTTATCTTTACCTTGAAACAAAGTAGAATAGAGAGAAAAGGTTTTTATTTAATTTTGGTTTTTATTGGTAAAAGGCAACAACCGACTCAAAGCTATGTGTTATATTGAACTGTTTGAAGGCACACACACCAACCTGTCAATATTTAAACCCATTTTAGGAGCAAGGAATTATTTTTACAAGTTACCATCAAATCTTGATTTCTTATTTTTGTTTCTTGCTCAGGAATTATATTTTCTATCAATGTGCCCATCCAATCAATAAATGAACCAATAGCATGGCTAGAAAATCACATTGTAAAATGAAAATTCCAATGTCTGATTATATATCATGTTTTATAGGTCTGACATACTATAAGTTTTATAGTTCTGCAGATTATTATAGTTTAGAGCTTACTAAGTTTTGTTCATTAAGCTATTATACTTTTAGATATATTTTACTCTTTTTTGTTTTTCTACTGAAGCCAGATAGTATCTTGGGAACTTTTTTTTATTTTTTTTATATAAAACTTATTTGACAATAGATAAAAACTAAGATCCTGTATAATCAACAAGGGTGTTCATGTTAAAGCTAAAAGATAATTATTAAAATGAATTTGTTGAAATCAAATACTGAAATAGTCAATGATGAAGAATCAACATGCTATTAACGTGGCTCCAAGAATCTATTAAAGTCCATTTTTTAATTAAATTACCTGTTTTAATTTGTAAATGAAAGTGCTTTTGTGAGAGTTGTTTTTTTGTTTTTGTTTTTTTTATCATATCACTCTCATTCTCAGTTTCATATTCTGTGTTGCATTTAATTTGAATATTTGATCACCATTTTTGGTAGTTTTGATTTTGGTATGTTTTCTTTCCACATTTTTATGCATACTTACTCCATTAAACCTACAATTCATTTCAATTTTACTTACCTTCACAATACTTGAACCAGTTAATTAACAAATGATTAGAAAACCTGCCAATTGAAATACTGCTCAAAGATTTTAGCAAAATAACTCTTATAAAGAGTCTGTAGAGTATTGACTATATTGTCACTATTCAAAGTGTGTGTGTGTACACACAGACTAGGTTATGAATGTTCCCACTCTGTCCCAAATCGTCACCTTATGCTATTTGATGATCCTTTACAGACAAAATATTTACTGCTTTTCATCAATTGAGCTCAAATTTGATATAGTCGAATTAGCTTTCTCTTTAGTTCTTCATTTAGTTTTAATCATTAGCAATCTGAAGATAGAACTTGTGTCTAATAACTTTGTGTTTCTTCTATCAAGAATTTGGTTTCTGTTCTTTACTATTGACATTGTAGACTTTTGCATTACTGCTATGTTTGTTTTGGTAAAGAAGTGGCTATCTAACAAAAATGTAGGTGAGCCAGTTCACTATCTGAATATATGCTCGCACTCACAATTATATATAAGACAAGCAGCTGTTAACCCACTTCAACAAATCATCTTGAAATATAAATTAGAGAATGCTTTTGAGGAAAAGAAAAGTGCTGCTATATAGTGTCAGTACATTGCATTGTTTGAAAAGCTTATTAGAAAGATATAAAAAAAATAAAAATGTATAAAAATGAAAACATTTTTCAAATCTGAAATATCAATGTTTTTTGCGTGTTTTTTTTTTTTTTTCAACTTGTATGCGATTGAACAAAAATCATTGCTGTCTATAATAAGGTTGTTCATGTGGCATATCCTAGCTGCATAGATAGGCACAGATTTTTATTTGATATTTTCATAATTTATTAGTGTTATTCCAATTTTTTTTTTTTCCTTCTTCAGACTAACATCCTAATTTTTTTTACATCCTAACATTTTGGTTGTTGTATTCTCCTAGCCTTCTTCACATGTATTTGGTTCTGTTTGAGAAGTTTCGAAAAAAAATCTTTTATCATAACCATTTCCTTTGTTGGGATTAAATTTGCAACTCTTAATTTGTCAGTCTTTTTGTTGAATGATCACCTTTAATGGGTACACATTACCTTTCCACAAAATGATCATCCTCTTGCATACAAATAAACTGACCTTATTCATAAACAACCCAAAACAGAGATTTAACTCATCATAGTGAAGATGAAAGGGAATCCATGGAGCCAGTCTCACTCCACAAAGCTATTGTCTTTTAGGCAACTCCAACACTTATTTTACAAGTCTACCAAAATATGACATTTTGTGAATATTGGACTTGAAGCATATATACTGGCCAAAATGTTTTGATATAACAAAAATGCTTTTCACTAAACTGACCAATAGTAATTCAATGCTGATAGTTATAGATATATCTTCATAAAGTATGACCCTGTATTATATCATAAAGACCTATTAAATTTTTCCAAGTAATTTGTTAACATAATAGAAAAAGGTATTTTTAATTTTTTTTATCTTTCACCCCACCCCCCCAATTTCTTGGTCTGTTTCAAACTTTAAAACTTTGTGGTCTTTAGAATGTTAAAAAATGTTACTTAATAATTCTATTTGTTTTTTTGTTAAGGAATTATCAATATATTTTGGTTTATTTGAAGCATTATTTTCATCTAGATTATTCTAGATGTTATTATAAGCACAGCATTTTGGCCAAGTACCCATTTCAGGTACCCCTTCAGATATTCATTGTTTTGGACTAATTTAGGATCTCTTGCATTGTTGTTTCTTGTTCATTCTTGATGAGTATATTATTTCAGTGCCTGATTCAGGCATTGAACTTATAACCATGAAATGAGAGCAACATTTGATTAACCAATGCCTATATTAACTGCACAACTGAAGAGCATCAGCAGTGGTGTTTTTTTTTTTGTTTTTGTTTTTTTGTTTTTTAAGAAGCTTTTAAATTTAATGTCACATTGTTTTGACAACTTTTGGTTATCCAAAAGTTTAAATAAGTCAAAATCAAAACATTAAAAAAAAAGTTATCAGGCAAGTGGTATAAACCTGCTGTAATAATCAAATATCAAAGCAGAATAACAAAATAACCCATACAAAATATATTAGCTGTCCCATACCCCAAGAAATGGATACCTGAAGATTGTTAGAACATAACTGATTGAAACATTGTGTCTATAATTGACTGAAACATTGTCTATAATATCTATAATAATCAAAATGAGAACAATAGATCAAATAAGTCAAGTAAGTGAAAATATACCAGTTCTTGTTTCATCATTCAAATTTCAATGTCAAATTTGTCAGTTTCCAGGTAGGTAGCCATTTGAGATTTTAAATCTGTACACCAGATTTTAAAAAATCAAACCCAAGAATGAAAAGTTGCTTTTGTTCTGCCACGCAATGAATAATTGATGTTTTGCTTTGATTCACTATCTATGAACTTGTTTAAATTAGTTGTGTTTGTGTGTGTGTGTGTGGGGGGGGATAGTAATATTAAGTAATATAGTCTTACAAAGTGCTGCTGTTACTAGTTAGAGCCTCATGTGGTTCTCTGCTATTGTGGCTCTCTATCAGACAATGCTAATGTTAGGAAAAAGCTAAAGTGGCATTTTGGACATACCAGATTTTACTTAAGTTGGGTGTTAGTATTGTCTTCTTCAAAACTTACAAATGCTGCTTTATTTTTCTTCCTATTAGAATAAAAATTTGCTATTTGTTGATTCTTTTGCCTTTGATTATTTTTTTTCCATCTTGTTTTTGTTTTTTTAATTTCATCTTTCTGGAACTCTCTTAAGAATGGTTTTTGGTTATTTTGAAATTTTGACAAAATTCCTATTTCTTTATGCCAAGCAGAATACAAGTTTCACCATCTTTACCTCCTTTCAACTTTATGATTGAATGTTTTAATGCCTGTTATCAATCAAGCAAGATTTTATATTGCTATGGTAACAGCTGTCCTACAAAATATTTGCATACCTCGTCAAGTGCTCTTTTTTTTATGTCCTTTCCCTATCACATATATCATCTGTTGGTTTTTCTTTAACTTTGTTGTGACAACCAAAACTTTCCCAGACGCTATTTGGAAAAGTCACCTCTTGTGTGTGTGTGTGTGTTTTTCTGTTTTTTTCTCCGAAAGTGAACATGCCAGGAAAAAATAAATATAAATTTGGCTCACTCAAAGTAAAATGCACCTGAAGTCTCAATTGTCGTAATTTTAAAAAAAGGTATCATTAGTGACATTGCACTTTCTTTTTTTCACAACTTTCTATAATTTCAAGCTTTTCTTAAAAAAAATTCAACTCCATTTGAATCTTACATCTTTTAATGATCTACAGGTTTGTGAACTAACATAAAATAATTATAATTGAAATTTAATTTTACCTTTTTTAGTTTGACAAATCATCTTTGTTTTACATTGCCAGTTCATAGTTTTTGTAGTTTTAAAGTGGGCAAAATGAACTTCATAAATTTTGCATTATCAATTCTTTATTTTGTGTTAAAGTTTATTTTCCTTGGCTGTTTTGAGGTTAGTTAAGATGCATATGGTTGTACCTTTGAAATTGGATGGTTTGAATTACCTCTATAAACACCTGTAACTCATTTATTCTTGTAGAATATCTGTTTCTTTTATTACATAAAAAAAAATTTTCTACAGTAATATTTGTGCATTTTTTTCTGAAAGAATATTGCCTCTATAACTTTGTAAGAACAAGTTGCTTATTTTATGACAATATTTTTACTTGATGGTCCTCGCACAAAAATTTCATTGTCAGAGCAATTTCATTGGATAGCTGTATGGATCAGTTATAAAAATAAAGCCAATTAAATGCCTACTGTGAATTTTAAACTCTCTCTCTCTCAAAGTAAAATAGTTAAGTCATTATTGATTATAAATGTGAAAGTTGGATCAACTGTTAATTAGTTAAGACACTGATCTGATTAGTTTTATGATTGTACATGAAATGTAAATATTTCAAATAAATGATAATTCATATCTGTTTACTATTTATTTTTATTGAGATAGCATTTTAAAAAATGAAGCTAAATATCGAAAAATATTTTTTTTATTTTTTATATTATCTTTGTTTTAGGCTCTGGATTCAGAAGCCGACCATGAATTAGTGGATCCGGATCACAATCCACCTGATATTGAAGATTTATTAGATTTTGAGGATCTGAGTGACAGTGGACCTGAACTTGATACCCTCAGTGTTATTTCTACACCTAAACCTCAATTAAGGTAAGTTTGCAATTGAAAAATTGTTTCTCTAATTTCTAGTGATATTGTGATTGAGATTTTAAAGGGAACATTTTCTGTAAAATTTATACAGATACAAATCATTCTTTCTGTTTGCTAAAATGCAATAAGTGCTTTTTTTTTCTTTTTTTTTTTTTTATTTATATACATATCTGCTGCATTCATGTAATTTTCCATGTTAATAGACCCCAGAGTATGCTTTAAGCCTATTAATTTTTCTAAATTCTAAAGCAAGTCTTTCACCTAGCACTTTGATTTATAATGTAAGAATAATGATATCATTTGTGTATGTCAACTTAGTTAAAATGAATGTATTAAAGGGTCTTTTTTGGTGGGGGGTTATTTCACTCTAAGTTGATAAAATCCACAATGGCTTACTGTGTGTGAAAGAATCTGAGAAAAACATTATTAAGGAGAGAGGGGGACAATAAAAGAACAAGATTCAAGGAGACAGAAGATGATGATTGACATTGCATTTAAATTTTTGAAGATCATAGTTAACAGGAAAGCAATAAATCAGAAGAGAGTTTTACAAGCGAGAGAAGAAACTGTTAGCATAGAACTTACAGTTACATGTCGCAATTTCAGCTGTAAAATGAGACCTTGCTGCCAAATTAGTATTGTACTTAAATTTGTGAAGTTGAAGTACCAAAGAACAATCAGAACAATTACCATGAAAATATTTATAGAAAAGGTATGATGAGCTACATTACAGTAGTAAGAAAGTGACTGAAACTGAAATGCCAGGTCAAGACTGATGACATTGCAGATTCTTCTTTGAATTTTGTCAAGAATCTCCAAATACATAGTAGAAGCACCAGACCAAATGTGGCAGCAATATTCAATAAATAGCTGAATAGTAGACCTATAAAGGTGTAAGATAGCTTCTGACAAGAAAGAATTTTCTAGCATGGCACAATGAACCAACTTTCCTAGCAGCAAACCTAACAATTGATTTGATATAATCATTCCAATTCTTGTCAGTGGAAAATGTTAGCTCCAGTAGGTACAATCAATTACTGGAGGTTAGCATCAGCCATATTGATGGAAGCATTAAAATTAACAAGTCATTTCTTGCTCCAGTTAACCATTTCAAGTATATGTTGATCTGAAAATTTCCAAGCCAGAAAGTAATTATGACCTTTTCTCCATTTGTGTATTTGAAATCTTTTTGAATCTTTTTTCTTCAATATTTAAGTGAAATGTGATCAAAGAGTTGATGGTGATGATGTTGATTTCAAATGAGATATAATTCAGTAAATACTTGGTTCAAATCAATTATCTCTTGGGCCCCATCTTGGCCTTCAGCAGAAATTAGCCCCTGTTCATTAGGCAGATTTTCATTTAGTAAAATTTTAAACAATTTATAATTGTTGCACCGGCCTCTAACACAAGGGGAATTACACCGGTTCTCACTATATATAGTGCCATTAATACCTACCCGGTGTAAGCAGTGACAGTACTACAACTGCCTAGCTGAGTAGTACCCGTTTCCTACCTTTGTATCTGTGATGTTAAATACACTTGTTCCTTAAACCAACTTCGACTTGATTTTCTTATTTTTACTATTGTGCCACCACACAACAATAATCAATAGGTATTTACTTGGAATCATTAATGTGATTAAAACACTTAAAAGTTTATTTAAGAATTTCCATTAGTCTTCCAGAAGTTCATCAGTAGTTTCTCTGGCAGTTTGTCACCAATTTTTTTTTCTTTTTTTTTGCATCATATCCACTTTGTCATACCAGACCTTTTTTTTTTTTAAAGTAAACAATTATGACTGTTATTCACCTCACTTGCTTGGCACTTCTCATCATCATTATTCTGTTCATCCCTATTTGTAACTTGTCAAGGGGTTATGTTAAAATACAAATAGAAGGTAAAATTGCATTTTTGCTCCTTATAACTAGTGTCAGTATTTCTGAATATGATAACTCAGTAGTAAGCAATCTTCTAGTTCAATTTTTACTGCAACCTTATTTATTGGGTGTTATCTTGTACAAAATCTATAGTATCTTTAGGGCACAAGCAGTGATTTCAAATATATCTCCTCAGATAGTGATTAACTGTTATTGTTTAATTTGATTTTGTCTACTCAATTTAACATTTACTTGAAATTACCTGTTAATGCAGCTAATTCATGATTGCCAGGGTCTAGAGCATTGCATTTTTTCTTTTTGAAATATAATAAAAAAAGAAATGAAGTTTATTTTAATTTCAATAAATTCAACTTTAATTTTTTTTAAATTTAGTGTTAAATGTATGGGAAATTTAAAAAAAAATGTAATTTTAAAAAAAAATGTTAAATGTAAGGGATATTTTATGTAAAAATTTATGAAAAATACAGATACCTGATTTTTTTCTTCTTTTAACTGTAATGCTCCTGTGTTTCTTTATTGATGTTTGATCATTGGAGAAAGGAAATGATTATATGATAAATAATCAATGAATTGAAATTCAAAATGACAGAAAATAGTCCTGGAAATATCTGATGCCACCATACTCCAGACATAAAATAGCATTTTAAAAACTCAACACAAATAACAAAACAACTCCTCCTCCTTGAAATATTTCTTTTTAAATTCATAAAATTGGAAATTTTGTGGTAATATTAATGTATGGCACTTGACAAATCTTCAAAATCCGGAGAAATATTTCTACTCAAAAATGAAATTCATTTCAGGTTTGAAATAATTGTTGAGTTTAAACTCTAAATCTGTGGTTTTCAACTTTTCCATGACTTTGTCATCTTTCCAGCCTCTGTTGAAAGTACTTGACATCTAAACTGAAAGTTAACGGTATGTTTCATTAACATAAGAAAAACAGATACTACACTTTTATCCTAAATGAAATATGCTGAATTGGACCATAAGCTGAAATATTGTCTTCAAAATCAAAAAACTTATTTCACCAATATATACAATAACATCGAGTTAAATATTACCCTTTTACCTAATTTATCTTTTAATTAGTATCAATGGAAAATTTGAGCTTTATGATGGGTACAAATTGGGTAGAATGACTGATAGGGCAATTTTATTTTATTTATTTATTTATTTATTTATTTTTTTTTTTTCATTAACCATTTTCAAATTTTCTCTTTTATAATTGTTGGAGACTGAAGCAGAATTACCAAAGTTTTTCTGGCTTTTGTTGGGTAATACATTGAAATTTTTATCCAAAAACAATTTCATCCCATTTCTGAATATTTGAGTATTAAACATCAATCATTCCACAGTTCAAGATTTTTTTTCCATTTCTTTCTGGGATAATTCATATATCTCGGATTTTATGAATGACTTTTTCAAATCCGGAAAATAGTGATCAGTTTTTTTCCTTCCATTCCAAATGATCAGAAATTCTTTAATATCAGAACATTTACTGAAGACACTTGTCTGGAGAAAGCTGCTGAAATTTCCACTTCAAAATTCATTCAACCTTGGAAGCATGAAATTTACCAATAGATGTCAAAATATTTTCTTTGAACATTAGATTAACTTATTAACAATTTAAAATATTTCAGGTATATATGTCAATTTTGAACACCATGGTTCAAAATGTATTCTCATCATAAGCAAAAATTTTGTACATTTTACCTCAGTTCATAGATACAACTTGATTCACTTTTTCCTCACATATTTTGTAAACACATGTAATTTAAAAGGCCTACTTTTCATAAAATTTGATATTTTGACACCAACATTCATTGTAGTTTCCAACTCTTAATGCATCTATTGTGTGTGTGTGTGTTTGTTCTTTTGTTTTGTTTTTATAACAAAAGCTTGCAATACTAAGAAAAAAAATGACAGATTTTATTTCACTGTTTTTGCTGCTTTGCACGTAAAACAAAATGGCTCATTTTGGCAGTCATAGATGAGGGGCTGCATCTCTACAGATATAAACACAATTTTTCCAAGGTTAGTTTATGAACATCATGTAATCATTCAGAACACGAAAAATATCTTTGCTACAGATAGTTCCCAGAATTTCTTTGCAATATAAATATCATTATATAATTCTTTTTCATGAATGAAACAAACAAATAGCAGAATGTTTACTGCTTCACTATTCTCACACAATTCATCACTCTGTAGCCTGTACAACTTTCTTTCTTTTTTTTTTTTATACATTACCCTCAGTATTTTCAGGCAAATTTCTAATATGACTCTCTTGCAATGTCTTTCATTTATATAACTGCTTTCTTGTACTTTGAAACTTTTGAATGAAAATAGTAATTTTTTTTTTAACAAACCACTAAAATACTCAGATATGTTAAGATTATAGTCTTGTAGAAAAATATCTTCAAATCCAAGAAGGGACCATGCTTTCTGTTGTGGAGTAAATAGTACACTTCCGGAGGACAATATGAACTAGTCTATAACTATAAAATCTCCAGGTCAGAGATAAGAAAAGAAACCATTTGAAGTAAATCTTCAGACTAATTAATACAGGCATCACAGCAAGTAGCTGAAGCATTATTTATAATTGTTTCCAAGCACATTATAACAGTGGCGATGAGGGGTTTCAAACTCGGTGATTTATAACTGTTGTGACGAGGATTCGGAACTCTTACAACTTATAATAGTGACGAGGATTTTGGAAACACATACAGAGTGAATGAGTACAAAAAAAAAATATACTTGTTGTTTCAGAAACAAGGATATGGTTGACAACAAGAATTTTAACCACATTGGTTTAAAAAAAAATATTTTCTCTTGGGTGTAGGGAAAAACCATTCTTGCGAATATGGAGCAAATTTTGGCTTCAATAGTTGAACTTCAAGAACAGAAACTGCAACAACAAAATCAACAGATGCTGGAACTACAAAAACAACAACAGTAGTTGTTGGATATAATTCTGAAGAAAAAAATTCTTCAATGTTTCTTACACTAGATGCTGTCCAAAACACCATATCAGAATTTGTATACAATCCTGAGGAGGGACTGACTTTTGCTGTGTATTTTCATAGATATGAACAA